TATAGTTACAAAGGAAAACCAGTTTATCTTTATCCTCCTCACAAATGGTGAATTAAGTGTTATTATAACCCAGATTGGGGCTGGAGATGTGGCTCAAGCGGTAGCGCGCTTGCCTGGCATGCGTGCGGCACGGGTTCCATCCTCAGCACCACATACAAACAAAGATGTTGTGTCCGCCGAAAACTAAAAAATAAATATTAAAATTCTCTCTCTCTCTCTCTCTCTCTCTCTCTCTCTCTCTCTCTCTCTCTTTAAAAAAAAATAACCCAGATTGTTAAAAAGTAAATAATCAAGGATCATTAGCCAATAAGGAAGTTGATACATCAGACTCAGGCTTTATTCAAGAATCTCGGCCATAGTGGTGTTTTCTGTGGTGGGCTTTTCTGACTGTATGTGGGTGATAGAGTATGTAGGTAGAATTGTTATAGCTTGTTTGAAGGAAAACAACTACAATATGGAATGCAGGACTGGGGACATTAGTGCTTGTAACTTTAACAAGAAGTGAGAAACCTCATGGGACAATACGTGATACACTGTTAAAGCTCTAGATCAATAAAACATGTCAGTGTATATGTTTCAAATTTTTTAAAATTTCTTTTTGTTGTAGTTGGACACAGTACCTTTATTTTATTTATTTATTTTTATGTGGTGCTGAGAATCGATCCCAGTGCCTCCCACATTCTAGGCAAGCGCTCTACCACTGAGCCACAATCCCAGCCCTTTAAATGTTTTTAAAATGAATGAATGTTCATGATTGAGATCATTATAAAGATGAGGAGCCTTATGGCAGACAAACCTTGCAAATTTGTAAAACTCACTTCTTTGTGTTTGGATTCTATGATAATGCTACAGCCCACAGCGAGTAGGTTTGCTGATGTGTTAGATAATAAAAGGTAGGTGATAGGTTAAGAGAATTGACAAAGTAGACTTGCTGAATAATGTGGTTTGAGATCTACTTTTTCTTATCAACTGGCTGCAAATTCAGTGAAGATGTCCAGTTCAGTAGGAGGTCTTCAGATGCACACTGCCTGATGGCACTGAGTTCTTTCTAAGGCTATCAAGCAGTTTAATTGATCAAGCCTGACTCTGCAGCTCTGCCAGTCTATTTAGTGACCTACAATAAATGGCCCACGATAAATGACTTCCCTGCCTGCTACATTTTTCTATCCAAACATTGCACAAAGCAAGGACAAGGATCCTTGAGACTCCTTTAATGGCAATATTCTTAAAAGGTCAGTCTCCTACAGTTTTTAAAATCAGACTGAGTGTCATCATGAAAGTTTCTTAGGGCTTTTATGAAGTCTATAAAGATCTTGAAGCAGAACAAGAATCTGACGAATCAATATTTGAGATTTTAGTGTTAAGTATTTTGAAATGTGAAAATCAGAGTATTATCTGCAGCTAATAGTACAATTCTGAAAATGAATGACTTCTTAATGACTTCAAAATGATAAGAGAGTACTGTGTAAAGTATCGAAAAGTTCTAAGTACATGTTTTAAAGTCTTTTGAAACAGACTTTATTATCTAGATAGAGCATATACATTATTTCTTGTCAATTTCAAAAGATACAATGTTTACTATATTAATGCAGACTTTACTTCATTAATGCAGACTGAATGTGATGATTACTTATCCACATGCTTCCATCCATTTCTTAAAAAAAAAGAAAACATTGCCAATCAAAATCCCAAAGGCATTTCTTGTAGAAATAGAGAAAGCAATCATGAAATACATATGGAAAAATAAAAGACCCAGAATAGCAAAAACAATGCTAAGCAGGAAGTGTGAATCAGGCGGTATAGCGATACCAGACTTCAAACTATACTACAGAGCAATAGTAACAAAAACAGCATGGTACTGGTACCAAAACAGGCGGGTGGACCAATGGTACAGAATAGAGGACACAGAAACCTCCACAAAACTACAACTATCTTATATTTGATAAAGGGGCTAAAAGCATGCAATGGAGGAAGGATAGCATCTTCAATAAATGGTGCTGGGAAAACTGGAAATCCATATGCAACAAAATGAAACTGAATCCCTTTCTCTCGCCATGCACAAAAGTGAATTCAAAATGGATCAAGGAGCTTGATATCAAATCAGAAACACGGCATCTGATAGAAGAAAAAGTTGGCTATGATCTACATACTGTGGGGTCAGGCTCCAAATTTCTCAATAGGACACCCATAGCACAAAATTTAATAACTAGAATCAACAAATGGGACTTACTCAAACTAAAAAGTTTTTTCTCAGCAAAAGAAACAATAAGAGAGGTAATTAGGGAGCCTACATCCTGGGAACAAATCTTTACTCCTCACACTTCAGATAGAGCCCTAATATCCAGAGTATACAAAGAACTCAAAAAATTAGACAATAAGAGAACAAACAACCCAATCAACAAATGGGCCAAGGACCTGAACAGACACTTCTCAGAGGAGGACATACAATCAATCAACAAGTACATGAAAAAATGCTCACCATCTCTAGCAGTCAGAGAAATGCAAATCAAAACCACCCTAAGATACCATCTCACTCCAGTAAGATTGGCAGCCATTATGAACTCAAACAACAAGTGCTGGCAAGGATGTGAGGAAAAGGGTACACTTGTACATTGCTGGTGGGACTGCAAATTGGTGCAGCCAATTTAGAAAGCAGTATGGAGATTTCTCGGAAAGCTGGGAATGGAACCACCATTTGACCCAGCTATTCCCCTTCTTGGTCTATTCCCTAAAGACCTAAAAAGAGCATGCTACAGGGACACTGCTACATCGATGTTCATAGCAGCACAATTCACAATAGCAAGACTGTGGAACCAACCTAGATGCCCTTCAATAGACGAATGGATAAAAAAAAATGTGCCATTTATACACAATGGAGTATTACTCTGCATTAAAAAATGACAAAATCATAGAATTTGCAGGGAAATGGATGGCATTAGAGCAGATTATGCTAAGTGAACCTAGCCAATCCCTAAAAAACAAATGCCAAATGTCTTCTTTGATATAAGGAGAGTAACTAAGAACAGAGTAGGGACGAAGAGCATGAGAAGAAGATTAACATTAAACTGGGATGAGAGGTGGGAGGGAAAGGGAGAGAGAAGGGAAATTGCATGGAAATGGAAGGAGACCCTCAGGGTTATACAAAATTTCATACAAGAGGAAGTGAGGGGAAAGGGGAAAATAATACAAGGGGGAGAAATGAATGACAGTAGAGGGGGTAGAGAGAGAAGAGGGGAGGGGAGGGGAGGGGAGGGGGGATAGTAGAGGATAGGAAAGGCAGCAGAATACAACAGACACTAGTATGGCAATATGTAAATCAATGGATGTGTAACTGATGTGATTCTGCAATTTGTATACAGGGTAAAAATGGGAGTTCATAACCCACTTGAATCAAAGTGTGAAATATGATATATCAAGAACTATGTAATGTTTTGAACAACCAACAATAAAAAAAAATTAAAAAAAAAAGAAAACATTTAAAGGTGTCAAAGGCTCCAGAGAAATGTTGATAATGTGCTTAAAGCTTCTTACTATTAAACATGGAATGGAAAAGGAAGCATATAGCAATGGAAATATGGTTATCAATGAGAAATATTTCCTACTTCTAAAAATATTATAATCCAACATGGGAATTCTTCATTTTATAGTTTCAAACTCAATCTAATCACAAACATTGAATTACTGAATAATGTTGGGCTTTGGTAGTAATTAATGTGTGCTGGTAGCAATCACCCATCCAGTTGATACCCATATGCTGATAATGACAGCAATGCATTCTTTTTATATTTTCAGGAATTCCAAAAACATTGTCATAGATTTTCTATAGTAAGATTCTCATATTTATTATTCAAATCTAATATAGCAAAATTTTGAATATAAGGTATAAAATGTTGGTAAAATTAAGAAAATCAGGTATTAGTTTAGTTATATTATAATCTTACAAAGAAGTTTTAAAATTAAATTTAAAATTAGTGAAATTTTCTAAAATGATTAAGAAATCCAACATTCATAATATATACAACTGTATATAATATATACATATGATTTTTAGGTGAATTTACTTCCATTTCTAATTTTAGGAATTAAACACATCTGATATCATCAAAAATATCATTTGTATCTATTATTATTTAATTATAGTGTTGTCAATTTTTATTAGGAAATTTTCACAAATTTCCAAGGCAGAAATTTATAGAAAAAATTTTACAATTTAAGTTGTAAATGCAGATACTTTCACATAGAGTTGTGAATTTTGAACTAAATATATTGGAAAAATAAATATTTTAGCATCTTCATTTATTGATGAGTACACACACTGTCATTTATATTACCGTATCATCTTCTCTCATTATAAAATACTTTTTCTATGTACTTCTATAATTTATTATATATCATAGGTAACACAAATATTTCAAAACACTGATAAATTTACACAATGCCTTTTTGTGAAAGCATAACTTGGAATAGTTGTAATATTTCAGGTCAATGGCTTATAATAGTGAAAATATGCTATTAGTACGAAAGTCATTTTGACCCAAAACTCAGCTGTATGCTGGTCAGGAAATAATAGATGCACAGATATTTGCTGAGGGCTTATGATTTATGAGGCACAGGAATCTCTGAGAATATAAAATATGAGATGGGGCTCTTACATTTTTTATTTTTATAATTGATAAGAGATACGTCTTTTAAGAGAATTATGCTTTTGTTGATGTGATCAGCAACCAAAAAGATAACAGTACATCAAGCAGAACAGAAATACAGAAAGAAAGTGCCTATTTAGAGGCCATTTCCAAAACATAGGGAAAAAAAGCTTCAAGAGAGGCAAGAATTATTTCCTTAATGTAGGAATCAATATAGATCAGTCCACTGGGACTTAAATGTCATGGATGTACAAATTAAAATTACTTTTCAAATATTTCCTATCAAATCATAACCATGTTTTGCATATGTATTATTTCTAATACATTTTCATTTATTTTTTTCTGATTTGTTCCCAGAATGCTCAGGCCCATTGGGAATTGAAGGTGGCATCATATCAAATCAGCAAATCACAGCTTCATCCACCCACAGAGCTCTTTTTGGTCTCCAGAAGTGGTATCCTTACTATGCACGTCTAAATAAGAAGGGACTTATAAATGCCTGGACAGCTGCAGAAAATGACAGATGGCCATGGATTCAGGTAACAATGGTGTGGGAGGCAGTGATTGTCCAAATGACCTGGGTCACTGTTCAGAGCAAACAAGAAGGAATTCACCATGACTCTTCCTAATAGTCAGAGGAAAGGGTGATATAATTAAGGGCATAAATTGGTTACAGACTCTAAAAATGAAGGAAAAGTACATGTTCCACTTGAAAGTGTATTCAGGGGATTCAGTGTTAGAAGTCTTGGGTATAAGTGCACTATCTTAAGTCATATTTAAGATGGATGCTTTCTCATCCACACTATATTAGCAGCACCTTAAACTACAAGAATTTTTTTTTAAAATGTCTTTTTTCTTCTCTGTTTCTAAGAAGTGTCTCCACATGTAAAAATATAAAATATATAGGCTATCATAATACCTCAGCGCCCTCTTTTTATAACTGTCTAACTAGTCATTGATATGTGCTGAAGGGAAGAAAAATCCAATATATGTGAGGTCAAAGGAAGAAGTAATTAATTATCTTTATAAAGCTACATGGGGAAGACAGCTTTTGAGGAAGGCCTTGGAAGTGTTTTCAATAGAGATTAGATGCCCAGGAAAGAGCATGATCAAAGGCCTACATGAGCGTCTAGGGAGCAGCATGTAGAAATTCATGACAACTAAAAGTTGCTAGAGGGATTTGTTCAAATTTAGTGTGAGTTGGCTCTGTCACAGGATCATTCTAAAAGGTTTTGGATTTGTTTCACTGGAGTGGGGAGCTGCTACAGAGTTTTGATTAGTTTAGGTGGCTGATCTGTTTCTCTGTCTACTACGTATTTTGAGTCAGAGAAACATGGAAGTCCCTGATGTGACATAAATAGTGCAAAAACCATGAAGTTTGCTTTACAGTTTGTTTTAATAGAAAGGAAAATTGATTTCTGACCAAATAACAAGACTTCTAAATTTTAGGAACTGCACCAAAATCTCCTTCATAAACTTCTTTTGTTGAAGTTTCTTGGGAATGCTTATAGTTCAATATATGTATATGAGTATGTGTATGTGTCCTTATATATAAAATTATTTTATATAAACAGCTATGTAGAGTTACTTAAAGTTCTTTATGAATTTTTTTGCATGCATTTCAGAAGTTTCTTCCTATATTGCACCTGACTTTTTCAATCTATACCCATGTGTGCAAAGAGAATTCCAGATATAGAAAATGGCACATCTACAGTTTTTTGTTGTTGTTGTTGTTGTTCCTTTTTCTTTTCTTTTTTTTGGGGGGTGGGGTGCTGGGAATGAACCTTACACATGCTAAAGACCTTGCCTAGTCTAGGCAAGCACTCTACCACTGAGCTAAATCACCAACCATATACAGTTTTGATTATAGGCTACTGAAAACCCTATTCAGCATTAAAAGAGATACAGAATAAATAATCATTCCAGAGACACTTCTAGTGAATCTAGTTGATAGTTCTAAACTGCATTTGCAGAATCACACTTATGACAGAATTATAAAAAAATTTACATTTTATGTCCTTATTTTTCACTTTATCTCACCTTGGTTTATTGTTCAATAACACAGTACATCATTCTGACTTTCAAGGTATGGAATTGTCTTCTTTCTTCCAGAAACACTATATGGAAATAATTTCAAGAAAATAAGACAATGATCATCTCAGAGACATTTAATCTAAAAGTAGTTTAACTTAATTTAATTTATTATTGTAAACAAACAAAAACTTCCTTTTAAAGGCTGTGAGTTGATGGCAAAGATGATAACAATGATGATAATTTTGCTTTTTCTCTGAAGATGATAATGAACTCTTAGAGGAAAAATAGTAAAATAAATGTAAACATTTTATTAGAGGAAGAAATTACACATAGAGTGGGATGAAAAACTAAAAATTTGTCATTGCTACTCAATCACTATTTAGTGATATGTTCAAGGAATATTGTTTTTATTGTATTCTTTAATAATAATTTTTATTTTCCAAGTTATTTTCCTAAAAAGAAAAACTTTATCAATTTTTTAAAGAAAAATCATATTTCAAAGATTCAGAATTCTAATCATGTACCAAACTTTCAGTATTGGAGCATTCATCATTAATTTATCTTATCACTTAAATCTTCTATCTCTATTTAGTTTTTCAAATGAAACATTTGAAAACTTCATATAAACTCACTTGTAATGAACATAGTATTCCTATAATCTTTCAGGTGTTTGACACTGATTAACTAAGCAGTATTCAGTTTTATTTTCTTCTTTGTGTTGATAAAATGAAAATTGGAATTACCACTTTAAATTTACATGCTCATCATATGATTATTGATAGTAATGCTCAAAGTTGTTTATGTGTGTAAAGAGTTGGTAGAGAAAATGCAGTCATACAAAACTTCTTTTTTCTTTTTCAAAGTTTTTCTGAACTTTATTTTCTCCCTGAGATTTATTTCCAACTACTAAATAATGACCACATTAAACATTAGTTCATTAGCTTTTTAGAATGTAAATTTCTATTTCTGACCCAGGGATTTGAAATATCAACCTTACCCAATGACATAAATATATCTTGAATTATCTCATATGAAAAATACAAAGATTACTGAAAACTTTTGGGTGTTTTGCTAAGTACAGTTAGCTAAGATGACTATTATCTATTTTCTAATAGTGAGGTTTTTCTTTTATAACAATATGTAGCAATTTTAAAACTTTATTTCTTTTTAATCTCTAAGGTGATTTTGGTTGCATATGCATTGACTACCTAGCCATCCATTTCTTCATACATTTTACAAAATTTTACCAAATGAATGTGTATTCTTTTCTCTACCCTCTACTAGTCACTAGGAAAAATAAATAGTGCCTTCAGATATGCTGAATGTAAGAAACAGAAAAATGAACACGGCAAAAATAACCATAAAGAATGTTTGGCTTTGTCTTACATGGTCTGCTAACTATTGCATTTGAATCATAATATTTTAGTGGAAACTTTATTAAATTTAAAGTTAGAGTAACATAATATTTATGGAATACAAAGAGCAAAATTTCCATTATAATATTACATAGCTAGATGATTGCATGCTGATATATTTGATAGGTATAATATAGTGTAATACATATCAAACTTTAATTTGAAAGTTAATTTACTATTAGTTTTGTTGGTAGTATTTTATCACCGGAAAAATAGTGTTTGAATGATCTGTTTTAAATTATTTCTCAATTTTTTTTTTAAGAAAATGTCCCTTTTCTATAAACCACAGAGTTTGTGAGGGGGAAAAGATAGCTAAGTCTTAAAATTTAATGTGCACAGAAATCATAGGTCACTTGATAAAAATAGAAATTTCTGGATTGCTCCCCAGATCTCCTCCAGGTCATCCTCAGACTACACTGTAAAAACCTGTCTCAGTGGGTTTTGTACTACATTTGGATTTGTACTGCCTGAGTTAGAGTAAAAAGATAAACAAAGTAAAAAGCACTCTGCTTGGTGATCTGGGCACTTTGTTGTTCCAACCACAAATACCAATAACTACGTAGGAAGCAGAGAGGAAAGAACAGTGAAGTAAAATAAGGAAGAGCAGTGGAAAATAGGCCGCTCAATGAAGTCTCTAAACCAGGGAGAGATATCCCCAAGCTATGTATCTTTATCAGAAGTGCATTCAGGTTTGGCAGCAATTCACAAGAAAGTTTTATGGTTAGTTTTGAGTCAGTTAAAGTTCCTAAATGACTCTTGGATTCTTCTTTGTTACAAAATTTAAAATAGTCAAAAGCAAAATCATCTGACTTTTGCATTTTTATCAAAATAATACTTAATAATTTGTTGTTATTTAACAAATAATAATTTGGGTTTTTTTTAAGCATTCAGAGTGGGATTGAGAATGCTACCAAAAAATATTCTAATCATCTGTTTCATTTTAAAAGTTTGTACATGTGTGTGAAAAATTTTCGGTTTTTAAAGATACCTGGGGCTCCTCAAGGTACACAAATAATTTTTGTAAAGTCCAGAATTGAAGTTTTTTTTTTTTTTTTCATTTTTCCGGCTGTTTTCTAGTTCTAGAACCAGCATCACATAGCATTTAATCCATCTATACTATCTTCTCATTCAATTGAAAAACATTTTAGAATGTATTCTTTTTTTCCTGAATACAAACTACTTTCCCAGATGTAGTCCTGTTATAATAAATACCTCTCTAAGGCTAATTTATCTAGACTTTAATATATTGCTACTTCTAATGATCTTTTTGTAAAAACTGTGATTCTGAATGGAAATTTGCCATTTTCATTTAAGTTTTTTTTTTTATTAGAAATGAATTTTCATCCATAGTCATGCATTTTAAAAACAAACATTTTTGTTTAATTAAAAAGCATTTGCATTAAAAATGACTTGATGTCTCTATACTGAAAAATAATGTATTTGCTCTTGAATTTTCTAGTCATATACCACAGTTATGCCATCCTAGTTCATATTGCTTGTTTATCAGCCTTCAAAGATGTGTTTTGAATCTTAACTCAAGATTCCTTTAGCTACAGGGCATGATTACCCGCATGGCAATTGTGCTTTAGTAGAAAAGGAGCTGCCCCTGGAATCTTTCCTCTGCTCTAAGCTGCCTCCTTCCTGACTTGCAGCACCAGAGGCCTCACTCACCTGGATTTCTTGCTGTTCCTCAAATTCATGTGACTTATTATGCTGCTGTGCTTGGGCACATGCACCACATGGTTCCTGTACTGATCATCTGCTAATCTTCTCTGGGTTCATCCCATTATTGCCTTCTGTAGGAAGCAATTCCTGTCTCTTATCTCCACAGATAGAAGTGCCTACATTCTTATTTTCTCACTCTGTCAATTATATATTTCCATCATAGCAGTTAAAATATCTTCACAGTCATTGTTTGTCTTTTCCTTGCCTCCTATCCTGTAATCAACTAATAGTAAGGATTAAACCTGATTTAAATTCATTACAATAGCACCTTGTATAAAAACTATGTTGGATAGATGTAATTGACTAATAAGAGAATAAGGAATGTGATACAAAGGAAAAGGGAAAAGATGGTGATTGTTTTCACA